TTGTGTGTTAGGGATACTTTTTATTAACATAGAAATGGATCAAGGTGTTTGTAAATATGGCATATTTAAATCAGATAATTCTATGGGACAATGAAATCCACTCTGATTTATTTTTTAGAAAGGATTAGAAACGAGGAGAAATACGCAAACTTACATATATTTCATATCGCACAAGTCTCTCCAAAACCAAGTAAGACCCACATTATATTAACAAAAACATCCAAAATACCCAAATCGCATATATCAAATATACTAAGAAAAAAAACTTAGAAAAAAACAAAATATTCCCGAAAAGAACCACCGCCTCAGTCGTGGGTTGACTTGTTTGTGTTGTGACCGAGACCCGAGCTGTCACTTGATTCTCTTTTTCTCAAGTATGTCCCTCCCTTTCCATTTCTCTCTCTTTATGATTCCGGCAGGTGTTTAAGACGGGGTATCTCCACGCGAAAAAAAAGCTCTTTGAACGCGGCCATTGAGCTGGAGTTTTGGAAGGTTTCTTGACCCTGATTTCTTGTTGTTGATTTTTTTTCGCCTCTTTAAAAAAAAATGTTTTCTTTCTGTTGATTATTGGTCTTCTTTATCCTTTCCTTCCGGGGCCGCGTTATTTGGGGGTTGATATGCGAAGATCTAGGGTGAGGGTGCGATTTGAGGTTTTACTAGAGGCATGAAAGTGGATATTATGATATAATAAAGATTCCTCTTTTTTTTTTCGAGAGGAAGAAAAAAAATTCCAAGAAACGCAATTTTCGGATTTGCTTCATTGACGTTGCAATATTTCAATAAGTATATCAGGCTTTGCATATTCTGTTCAAATATTTGAAAGAATGTGTCTAAAATAAATGTATTAGGTTTAAAGATCTGGGTTTGGCTGTAGTAAGTGTCATGAGGATTTCTTTGCTAAAATGGTTTTCTTGCTGAGGTTCAACAGGTCATTCGTTATTCTTGTTTAAATTGGATAGGGTTTAATGTTTGAACGTTAATTACATGCAGTGTGTGACTGTTAGGGATTTCGAAAGGAATAAATTCTATTTTGATGTTTTGAAAGAATATTAGATTTAGGTATAATGTTAATTAAACCTTCCCAGCACTAATAATTTTAATATTTTGTGTGATTTGTGTATTCTGACAAAATTTAGTGTCTAGTTTCTGATATTATTGGTAATTAGTGGCACAGCAATGATTGATCATAATGCCTATGGTGTCTCCTGCTGCTGTAGTAAAGCAAAGACACTTCATAGCCTGCATTAACCCCTCAGTGACGGTATCAGAAATCTGTTTGGGCCAGGAGTAGCGCAACTAGTGCGTCATGATGCCTATAACCGGACCTGTCACGATGAATTGGTTTGTTATGATAGGTGTGGCCTGGCAGTAAGAGGTTAAGGATGGAGCAAGTATATCTTATTCAGGAACTAGTTCAAGCTCATTATTGTGGGAGGATGTATGAATTGAAGATATGTTGGCCTTCTCTAGAGCTCTCATGGATTTGTATAACCAGTATCTGGGGGTTATAGGGGTAGGACCCCCCAAAGTTAGATCAGAGTCTTGATTTGCTTGATACTGATGTAAGCTTGATACTGACTCTTTTGGAGACAATACCATCAGTGCCATTGGCTAGATATCACAAGCAATCTTATCAGTACCATATTTGTTTAGAACAAGAATGCAGAAATTTTCTGATTAGATATATACGTGATTGAGAATATGATTGCCTGTAAAGAATACCTAAAGCAAAACAAATCTGTCAAAGTAAAGGTAAGCCCACATTGCTTATCAAAGGCCATTGATATATGCATTAAACAACATTATGGCCTCCCTACTTCATGCTCAGCTAAAGGTCAGGACACCTTGTATATTCTGGCAAGATGGAGCTTGTAATCCTCTCTACGAGGTTATCATGAATGAAGGTACTTGTCCCAATTTAATTTTACCAGAATATGTTTGGTGATGGTTTGTTGGATTTTTCTGGAACATGAAGTGTGAAGGCCACTGTAATGTTGATTTTGTTGTAGCATGGAGCGTGAAAGCCACTGCATCACTTGATAGAGTCCTGTTCTAATAATTACCTGTTATGGTAAACTACCAAAGTAATGATGAAGTTTTGACAAGGTAATTGCAATATTTGTATTCCCAGTGTTATGAGGGATTGCTACAAATAACATTTGCATTAGGGATCACAGTCACTATTCAGAATTCCCATCCTCTTTTTTTTTTTATATAACATAAATTTTTTTCTGAATTTTTTCCCAATCACAAAGATATCCAGATTCCATAATTACCCCCCTAGGTCTTCGGATATTAGTAAACAGTGTGAAGATTACTGCAGTGAATATACCTAAAGTAGTTTTATACATAAGCTATATGATTAGGAAAGAGTCATAACAAATCCTGAAACTTTATTTATTATTCTGTTTAGAAATGAATGCTGATGGTGGTGGGTAGCATGGTGATAGATGATATGTTCTGTGTTCCTACAGAAGCAAGTAGCATAGGGGCATAGGTCTAGTTGTCAATAGATAACCAATGTCCCCTTATGACTTTGTGTCTTCACATAATTATAATAGTGATGATTATTATCATTGTATTGATGATACAGATGTCAGTGATGTTAATGATAATGAAAGTGGCAATTAGATAAATGATAATATTAATAATTATTATAACGAATATATTGATTGTCGCTGCAAGTGACTTTGACTTGTGAACAGACTTCTTATTTATCATTCATTAGTACCCAACCCATATATGTTTTAAAGCAAGGAATATATATATATTTTTTAGCCATCCTTATGTTTACATTTTTCTTTCAAAATTTGCCTGCCCTCACATGGATGCTAAATCAACAAGTAGGATTACCAGGTAGGGGCTAAGGTGAAAAAATAGTAGAAAAATAGCTTATGTCATGTTTTAGTGGATCCAGGTAATGGCAAATAGAAAATGTATGGCATAAAATCAGATTCTTTAAACTACAGTTGACCAGGGCACTTGGAGTCACCCGTAATTCAGTAGGCTAAAAGTCGGTCAGCTGTAGTTCTGTAAGTCAAAGTTGGTTCAGCTGAAGCTCAAAGACACCTCCAGGTAGAGGATCCAAATCATGCTTATTTAAAAAAAAACATAACTAATTTAGGCAAGGCTAGTGCTATATATCATTTGTGTAGTTAGATGATAGTAAAATGAGAATATTGCAAAAAATATATATATTGGAAAGAGTGTTGCCCTAGACATAAAACATATATAAGTCACAGCCAGGGTCCATCTTAATACTACTTGGCCATATGCTGCAATGTGGCTGCAGAGGATCTCAAAGGCATTATCAACGAAGCATTCCCGCCACACCAGATACAATGCCAGGTGATCCTTGCTGCACCTGCCCAGTTGACCCAGACCACTTTTTGTTAGCATTAGTTTAGTAGGCCATAGCTGGGTCAGCCAAAGCTGTAGTTCAGTAAGCTGAAGATAGGCTAACTGTAGTTCATTAGGCCATGTTTGCCTGAGTAGTTGTTCAAATGATGTATAGGGTTAGTTACAATTTAGTTAATAAAAAAAAAATCAAGATTGTTCTAAAAAGCAAAATGTTAATATATAGAGCAGAGCACAATGCTCAAGCTATGCAAATGAAATGTGTAAGTATATCCTGATGTGGCTTCTTGCCAATTTACAGATCCTTAAGTCCTTATCCAGCACTTGTTGATTGAATGTTGTTCAAAGATGAATTTAATATTTATCCATGATCATATTTGTTGCACATTCTTGCATTTGAAAGATTCTTTATTGTAGTCTATGTATCAGCATTTCTTTTTCATATAATTAAAAAGCAGAATTATGAGAGGACAATGTGATGTACAATATATACACATCAGTAACTAGGTTAATGGTACTGAATTTGAAAAGAGTAGAAAAGAAAAATCTTGTCATTATTCCTCAGACAATTCATTGTGAAAACTTTGTGTAGAAGACACCCATGAAGCTGTCAAAACAGTGTTTTTTCTTGCATTTATGTTGGTTTTGATCTGTATAATTCCACTTGACTGTTGTCTGTAATGGACGGCCTACAATTTTAGTCCAACTCAATAGTGATATATTGTCAAGCTAGAGCTCTCATTAAGTCCTTTTTAAACCCTAATCTGACAGGGATGACATGTAGGTACATGCCATGCCCACCATGAGTTTATTTTTTTATTTATTTATTTTTTTAACACATAGATGGCTCCACAAGTACCCTTTGCTGTTAGTAATATCACTATAATAATTATAGTGTTTATAATAAAAATAACAGCATCTATGTTAATAGCATTAGTAAAAAGGACATTTTTTCCACAAACTCAAGGAAAGGTGAAATCAGGTGAGGTCACAGGTCTACTAATTGAGCTCTTTGTGGCTAAGGACTTGCTGAGATATTTCACAAAACATTATTACAGTGAGCACTTTTCCCAAAAACTTTGGGTTAACAGTGAATTGCAAGGGAGGTCTACCAGCTGTTTTATGGCAGAGCAAGTAAGCTATAGATGATTTGAAGTGTAAAGGAATTATATGTGTAGGTTATGCAAATAATAGTCTACATCTTATGGAAAGGACCTGAGCAGCCATGGCTTTTGTTATTTATAGTGAGGCATGGAGCCAACTGTATTATATCAAAATATTGAAAAAGATACAAGAATAAGTGTAAGATTAATGATATCTGCCCAGCTTCATATCTTGTCATTTATAGTACCAGGGTATGAGCTATCCATGAGCTTACTTGATCAGTGGGAAGCCTGTAACAACAATTTACTATTATCCCCCCAAAATTTTATTCATGCCCCATCTTAGTTCTCAAAAGTAGTAAAATATTAAGATCCATTCTTGAATATTGTTGTCTTATGAAATAAGAAAATAATACTTTCAGTTAAATTTTGAGTGTAGGGTTTCTTCATAAATTACCTAATCAATAGGTGCTCTAAAATCTGCATCAGTTTTCATTATTGTCTCACTGTACAGATTACATGAGATTCTGTTGCCACAAT